CCCCTCCGGTGTGGAGCCTTGGCCAGCTGCAGCACAGGGGTTTGGAAGTACCTGTGCAGGGATGGAGAAATGATCCCATGCAGGATGCCAGCCGGGTGCTGGGGCTGGTGGGAGCGCAGGGAAGCGTGTTCTGCATCTCACCCTCACCTCCAGCCAGCCCTCGCCCGGTAAGACCCACTCCCCTCTGCCTTTCACCTCCGACAACGGCAGGATTTATCCTGCTCCATTCCCTCACTTCCCTGTGTCTCTTCTGGCGCAGCCTCGTCTGCAGCCTACGCCCGGCTGTCGGAGCAAAACCCTACTGCATTTTGCAGGAGAAAATGCAGCATTCATCCTGTCCCGTGTGCCCATCCCCTCCACATGCTGCCTTGAAACCTCACTGTCCCCCAAGCCTGGACTGATCTGCCTTCTCCAAACCCAGACAGAGTCCATGAGCAGCCTCCCAGCTCCCAGCCTGCTCCTCCCGGGGAACTGGGCTTTCCTTTGAGGAGCCAGCTGGAGTTGCTCCTGCCCCAGCGTGAACGCAATTAGCTGGGATAGCAGGGGGCTCGGAGCAGGAATTAACTTCATGATGCCAATGGGAGGTCAGGCTTTGAGAATTCACCTCTCTTTGGGTTCCTGCGGGGACCAGGCCCCCCTTAGCAAGTCAGAGCACAACGGGGTTGCATCCTCCAGCTGATGCCTCCAGGACTGGCTCTGCCTCCCCTGCTGCTCTGCACCTCCTGTTCCCAACCAGAGCCGGTTGTGCCAGCGTGTCCGGTCATTCAGCAAAGAGGTCTGAGCGGCTCCGGATAAAGAGCAGGACCCAACATGTGGGACTGAGTCCAAATTCCCACTCCAGTAAGCAACTGGGACTGGAGCGGTGGCACCTTGTGAAGGGGCATCGTCTACTGCCCAGCCTGCTGCTGGCACTGGCTCACCCAGAGAGTTTCTTCCGTGGGCAAAAATGATGCTGTTTGGCTGCCAGCGCCTCCCAAAAAAGAGCACTAGGTCAGGCAGTTGCAAACACATCTTCTTTTCCCCCTGCCTATTCCCTAGCTTAGACGTAGGGGACATTTTTGCCCTTGATCCAGCTGCTCGAGGAGTTGATCTCCTCTCAGACGCGTTTCCTAATCTCCAAGCCTTGCCCATCAAATCTCTAATCGCTGCTCGCCCTCCATGGCCATGCCCCAAGCCCGGGGTGGGGCAGGAGTTGAGCTACAGCCGCCCTGCTTGAGGAGCAGGAGGTTTGCAGAGAAGACCGGTTCGTGGGCAGGTAGGTGAGGAATAGATCAGGGAGCCATCGCCATCCCTCCGGCCAGGAGTCCGTCACACCATCCACACCACAATTCCACGCTGGCCATTCCCAGGAGGCCGGACAGCCGTTTTCTAAACGGTCTTTCTTCTTCTTTCCTCTTTTTGTTCCCTTTTCTTTTGTTTCGTTTTTTCAAAGAACACATTGTTACAAGAACTGGAAAATACCCAAAAGCAGATAGAGGAACACCAGCACGACAAGGTAAATGCCGCTGCAGGGAGCCTGCCCTAGTGACTGCGCGTCCTCACTCCTAATCCCCGGCTAGTGCCAGTCGCACCTCCTAAAATACCTTAGTTTCGGACGAGCTGGGATCCCAAAGCGCCCAGCAGCAGGAGGCCACAAACTAACCCACGCAGTGGCTGGATGGAAGCTGCCACCCACCTCCCTGGAGACCCCCGGTTCGGTTCCCTAACAGGCACGTTCAGTCCCGTCTCCATATTTCTTATCACACTCATCCATCCCTGACCCCCCGGCGAGGACAGCAGCGAGGCCGGGGTGGCTTTGCCCGTGTTTCTGGAGGAGGATTTCCCCTCCTTGGTGTGGCCTGGCTGCGAGGGACAGTGCTGCTGGGGCAGCCACGTCCCCTTCGCCCCCGAGGCTTTCTCGACCCCCTCGCTCGAACTGGGGCAAAGATCTGCTCCGTGCCCAGCTTGCAGAAGGCCCCGTAGGTCTTCACACCTCCCCTGCTCTCAGATAAAGCATCTAAGTAGGGTCTGCAACACAAGTCCATGTTGGCCTGTGCTGGAAAGCTGGAGGGTTGTAGCTTTTTGAAGCAACGGGAGCTTTTGAGATGTGCCTCATGTCTCATGCATGGTTGGGGGGATGAAGGGGGCTGCCTTTCCCCCTTGCCCGGGTACCTTGCTCTCCCAGATGCTCCGTGCCCTCGGCGAGGATGTGCGGGCACTGCTCATGCTTCCCCACCACAGCTGCTGAGCTCCAGGCAAAGGCAAAGCTTGGAGACTACCGTGACGCTGCCTGCACGTTGCCCACCCTGGTTCAGCCTGTTTGCCCACGGGACTGGGTCCTGCTGTGCCTGGAGGATCACATCTCCCCTGCCTCCCTGCCCTCCCGCAGCCTCCCCCCTTGCATCTCCCATGGGACAGCATGACCACTTAGTGCAGGCATGGGTTCCCGATGAGGATGGGGCTAGCAGCAGGAGGGACGGGGCTAGCAGCAAATTTGGCTAGCGAGTCTCTTACTGCTGGCCCTTTGCTAAGGTGAACGTGCACGTGCAGTCTGGAGCAAAACCAGAGCATCGTAGTGGGACCGATTTTCCTTCATCTCTCAGACCAGCATTGCTTCGAGTGCACGTGTGTCTGTCTGTCTGGCCGGCGATCGCTTCCTCCCTTCGCGGCATCACCCCAGCATCGTCATTCACTGTCACCTGCATGAGCTGTTTCTTTACCAATGTGCTTTAAACCTGGGATGGGGATTTTTAAAGGGAATATAAACCTGGAAATAGCTAAGGATGTGGATTACCGCAAATCTGGCTGCTCTTCAGAGCAAAACCAACCCCTGCCTGTCTCTTGTCTCGCCCTGAACAGCGCCGGTTGTCTGATGAGATCGACAAACTGAGGTTGGAGGTTGATCAACTCAAGACCAGAAGTGGGGCGTTCGTGGAGAGCGTGCACACAAGGTAAGGGCCGCCTGCCAAAATCCCACCAGCCCGTGCTCACCCCGCTTGCAGCCCTCACCCATGGCTTCAGGGACATTTTGCTTTAGGGCCCGAAAATGCTGTTGGCATCAGGCATTTCTGTTTTCACCAAGCCTAAGCTGCAGGGTGGTTCATCGCAGCAGGGTCAGCTCCAGCTCTGCTGTCCCCACCATGGCTTTGTCCTGAGGTGGGACACAGACTGTTGAGAATGAATGACCCAAATTTTACTCTTCTAAGGGTGAAAAACCACTGGGCATCATTTCTTTTTCTGCACAAAGGGCTTAGGGCTTCATTTTCTCTGAAAACTGGATGTTCACCAAATGCCTTTCCCCCTGTGGTGTGCTGGGGATGGGCTGGTGGAGAAGGAGGAATCTCTTTTGAGATGTTGCAGGCAAAGGAGAATGAAGCCACCCCTTTTTTCCCCCTCCTTTCTACAACAGTCCTCCCACAGTCTTTCATTTAAAGTCAGCTGGGAGATGGGGAGATCCCAGCCCAGAGCACCAGGAGGAGAGATGAGTCCATCAGGTCTCAGCCTCCGGCACTGACCGGGGTACCCAGCACCGCTGCAAGAAACCAGGGGGGTTAGAAAAGGAGGGTACCAGCATGACCTGCACCCCGCTGCCTTCCTGCGGACGCCCAGGAGGCCACATCCTCTCCTGAACCCTTTCGACATGGGTTAGAGGCAGCGAGGGATCAATGAGAGCAACCACCAGTGGGGAAAATTCACCTCTCAGGAAGGCTGGAAAAGATGGAAAGGAGCCAGTGTAACCAGCTTCAAATCTGTCAGCAGCTGGGGCAGAGAGAAGGCTTGGAGGCCCCGTATCTGTCGTAGAGAGAAGAAACGGGGAAAGCGAGGGAGAGCTTGTGAGGATGAAGGATAGCTGAGTGCTGGAGGAGTGTCTGGAGCATGTGTGGGACCTCTCTGTATGGGTCTGTAAGAACAGGATGGACGATTTTTTTTTTTTTTCTTATTTCTTGAAGGAAAAATCAGCAGAAAGCTTGAGTTACAGAGGCCAGAATAATCCCCCAGCTGAAATGTCAGCTTTTGTCTAAGGCGCCTTTATCTGGTTTTAGCTCGGGAGCAACTTGTCAGCGGCTCAGCAGCTTAAATCCCCTTGAAACTTGGGCTGTGCCTTCGTCTGCAAACACCCAACTGACGCCAAGCCAAGCTCCTCGTGTCAGCGGTTTTGTCTGGGCTCGGTAGGATACGGGAGTGGGGAGCCCAGATCTGTATTTGCACTGCAAACCAGACACCCACCATGATGGAAAAACATTTTTCTACCTTGGACAACTGCTATTGTAATCTTAAATCAAAAAAACCCTCATGCCTCCTACGGCAATGCATATAGGGAGTAATGACCCCATGCTCTTGGGAGATGCCTTTGCTCAGCAGCGTGGTTGGGTCTTCAGGGTGAGGAGGAGCAACCAGGCAACGTGGAGATATGCAATGAGTACCATGAGCGGCAAAAAATGGCCTTGTGTCCAATATCAGGTGCTGCGTTGCTCTGCCCGGCATGGGGATCTCGAGCTCCTGAGCACGAGCCCGAGCATGGAGAAGGAGGATGAAGAAATCCCAGCCGGTTTCATCTGGGAGATCCCAAACGATGCTCATGTCCCTGAGCATGAAAGATCTGTTTCAAATAGGATTTTTATTCATCAGAGTTTGTTTTCATGAAAATGTTGAAGAAAACATGAAAAGGAGAAAAGCTCCCTGACTGGCCCGTGGTCTGTCCCATGGGGATGCAGAAGATGGGCACAAGACAGGCTGTACGTGTTGGGAGGTGCAAGCTGCTCTCCAGAGGGAAGGAGAGGAGGGGACTGTTCAGCACACGACTTCACAGCAGATCCACTGTGCAGGGTGGTTTTGACCAGAACCAGCTGGATGCCCCAGTGGGTACTGCAGCGAAGAGAGAGGTAGCAGCAGGATAGGGCCCAGGGCTGAGCTTCCTACAGTCTGTGAACACATCTCCAGGGCCAGCGTAGGGGGAGTGGAGCATCCTTTTCTGGAGCCTGGTTTTGCATCATTTCATGCAAAGCAAGCAAACATCGCTGGCGTGGGCATCCCGGAGTGGCCTCATCCTCCTCCTCTGTCCTGAGCAAGACTGGGCTGCAAAGGGAGCAGCCTGGAGATGAGGGCATCCTTGCAGGAAGAATTGTCCACAACATGGCTCTTTCTTCCCAGGTCCCATATGGGCAGTGCCACGGACCTGCGCTTCCCACTGAGCACCGTGGTCCATGCCCCTGCAGAGCCCTTCGGGACAGCCCCGGGCCTGCCTCGGGCACAGAAGGGCCGATTCGCCGCTCGACGAGAGGAGCCAGCCAAGGTAATCCACCTTCATGCCAACATGGGGCCAGAGCTGGCGTTGGGGTCTCCTCCTACCTTGCACAGTGGTCTCATGTGTCCTTGATTTGGGGACATGGGGTGATTTCCTTCACCTGGTGCGTGGATGGGGGTAACATGGTGGGAAAGGTTTCCCATTGGGGTGGCGTTGAGATATGACTGTTGCGTGGAGGTCTCCAGTTTGGCTTTTGGAGACATGGGAGTGCCATGTAGGACCGGTGGACCTTGTTTCCCCAGGACTGGGAGCAGGCCCAGGCAGGCAGCGTCCTGGCTACGGGGCCTCACGCCTTCGACAGCGACCCCGAGATCTCCGATGTGGATGAGGATGACCGTGAGACGCTCTCCAGCTCCATGGATGTGCTCTCCCCCAGCGGGCACTCAGATGCTCAGACGTTGGCCATGATGCTCCAGGAGCAGCTGGATGCCATCAACGAGGAGATCAGGTAGCGACCATGGCTAAAACCCACCGCTGCCTTGCTCTGAAATGGCTCCGGGGGGGGGCAACAAATTGCCAGGCAGTGGGAGGAGGCTTTGATGCCCTAAAATTGAGGTCTTGGTCCAGCCTGAGCCACAGAAATGGCTCTAGGACCTCCAGCCACAGGGCTTAGTCCTTCCTACACATGGCTTCTTGTCCCTCAGCTGCACCAGTGCTGGCTCACAGAAAGGATCACTATTTTTAAGAAAAATCCCCCATGAATATTAAAAGAAATCATAGTGTGTCTCAGTTCTGGTTTATGTGGATCCTGATGGATCTCGCTGCCATTCCTGGAGATCGGGGACTTGAGTCACAGCACCCAAGGTGCATTTCCCCAGAGCAGAGAGACTGTGTGGCTGGGAGGTGTGAGATGACTCCCCAGAAAGGTGGGGAGCCAGGAGCCCTGAGCCCCACTGCTCCCCCAGGATGATCCAAGAGGAGAAGGAGTCCACCGAGCTCCGCGCGGAGGAGCTGGAAACCCGCGTCACGAGCGGCAGCATGGAGGGCCTCAACCTCACCCAGCTCTGCAAAAGGGCTTCCATCCCCACCTCGCTGACAGCCCTGTCCCTGGCCAGCTCATCCCCACCGCTCAGCGGCCGCTCCACCCCCAAGCTCTCCTCCCGCAGCGCTGCTCAGGACCTCGACCGCATGGGGATCATGACGTTGGTGAGAAGGCACGCAGGGCGGACAAAGGGGGGCTGGACAGGGTGTACGTGTGGCTGCCTTGGGTGGGAGCGATGCCCTGGCATCCACACGGGTGTGCGGGAGGGTGTTGTGGAACGGGGGTGCCCATGTTTGCTGTCTCCCAGCCTGGCACACCTGGCCCCGGGACTGCTTTACAGGGGGTTTCTCCATTAACTGCCCCCCTTTCTGTGTCTCTCTCGCTTTCCCCCTTGCAATCAGCCCAGCGACTTGAGGAAGCACCGGAGGAAACTGCTAGTGAGTGGCTCCCATCCCGTTGGTTTTTGTCCAAGCCCCTTTTCCAGCCTGCTCCTGGCTTTGTCCACACCAGGTCAGGGTGCAGCAGGCGCGGGATGGAGCTGGGGACCCCAGGGATTCAGCAGGAGGATCATGGGGATCCCGTAAGGTGCTTGGAGATGTGCCGACTGGCAGCCTCGGGGGGCTGGCAGGACATGGGGAGGTTCAGAAAGCCACTAGGTCCTCAAACATTGTGTGTCCCTTCTAGCGACAAGGTGTCTTTGGGACATTCCCATCTGTGCTCCTCAGAACCCTTTGCTGAGGGCCAGCAGCTTCTGTCCCCACACCCTGACCTGGACCATGGGGCTGCATCCTCTCTTCTCCTTATTCCCAGGATCTTGGCCATACGGCCACATCCTCCCCATCTGCTTGGGCATCTCGAGCCATTGCCAGAGCTCTAGTTCAGGCCGATCCTGGAGCGTGGCAAAGCCTCAGGGCCCTGGTGGCTCTTTTGGCCATGCCTCCATGGAGCAAGAGAGAGGCAGGCAGCAGGGCAAGGATGGAGCTGGGCTTTGGCCACCCAACCTCATGACTTCTCTGCTTGTTCAGTCACCTGCAGCTCGGGATGAAAGCCGAGAGGATAAAACCACCATCAAATGCGAGACGTCCCCCCCATCCTCACCCAGGACGTTGCGGCTGGAGAAGCTGGGCCACCCTGCGCTAAGTCAGGAGGATGGGAAGAGGTATGTGGAGCAGCCTGTGGGTCTCACCCCAGTGCCTGCTCTGTTGGTTTGAGGATTTACACCTCTGCTGTGAGGACAGGCTGAGAGAGTTGGGGTTGTTCAGCCTGGAGAAGAGAAGGCTCCGGGCAGACCTTAGAGCAGCCTTCCAGTGCCTAAAGGGGCCGACAAGAAAGCTGGGGAGGGACTTCTTACAAGGGCAGGGAGTGATAGGACAAGGGGCAATGGCTTTAAACTGGAAGAGGGAAGATTGAGATGAGATATTAGGAAGAAATTCTTCCCAGTGAGGGTGGAGAGGCAGTGGCAGAGGTTGCCCAGAGCAGCTGTGGCTGCCCCATCCCTGGAAGTGTTCAAGGCCAGGTTGGATGGGGCTGTGAGCAACCTGGTCTGGTGGGAGGTGTCCCTGCCCATGGCAGGGGGTTGGAATGAGATGGGCTTTAAGGTCCCTTCCAACCAAACCATTCTGTGACTCTATGATTTACATGGGGCAAGTGTGGGATTGTGGAAGGGGCTGGGGTTTGCCATGGCTTGTGCGCTGCTCGGGAGTAACCTAAAGGCTTTGCTGTTCCTCTCCCTCCTCCATCCCCAGCTCGCTGGAGGAGCAGGCCAGCAACCCCAGCAGCAACAGCAGCCAGGACTCCTTGCACAAGGGCTCCAAGAGGAAGGGGATCAAATCCTCCATCGGGCGCTTGTTCGGGAAAAAAGAGAAGGGTCGCTTGATTCAGCTGAGCAGAGAAGGGGCCACGGGGCAGGGTCTGTGAGCAGCCCTATTCCTGTGCGTGCCGGGCGGGCGTCCTCTCAGGCCAGGCTCTCTGCATGCCTCCTGGCGCTGTCTGGTTTCGGGGTGCTGTTGGGGTTACAGGTGGAGGAGCAGGGACACCCCTGCTGGTTTGGGGATGTTGGGACCACTGGCTCTGGGCTCCCTGCGGCTTCAGGGCAGTTGAGTCCTGGTGTCTTCTGCTCCACAGCCCCTTCTGGCCCGAGCATGGTATCTCTCTTAATGATCTGCAAGAGCTGCAGTGAGGAGAGTGACCTCCCACCCTGTCACTGTGTCTTATCTTTGATGTCCCCAAATGCGCTTCCCTCCCTATGGGACCTTCTTGATTTTGCACAACCCTTTGGTGGGAGCTGCTTTTCCACTCCTAAATCCTTTACTGCTTTGATGTTGAGCATCTTGAATCGGGAGAAATGGCAGGCGGGGATCCCCTTGGGCTTCCCAGAGATGCAGGGGAGCTGTGGGGGTGGGTTGGAAATGTCACCTCCTGTGCTGCGATTGTGCATCCCCAACACCCTGGCATGGGGACTGTGGCAGTGCCCACGCTGAACCCATGGGACATCACACAGACCTGAGGATGTTTTGCTTGCCCAACAGTGCTGCTGACCGACGTGGAGGTGGGCATGCAGGACCCTCTGGGACTTGGCAAGCTGGGTGCTCAGGCCGAGAAGGATCGACGCTTGCGGAAGAAGTGAGTGAACTTCTTTTCCTGCCCTAGCAAGAAAAGGTCCTGCCTGATGGCTGAGAAGCCATGGCATGAGACTAGGTATTGCTGGAAAAACTTCTCACCTTCACCCTCTCTTGAGCCCTGTTAGCTCCTTTATTGCCTTGCTGCCGTCTGGTTCTTACCGCCCATGGTCTAGTCCCTTTCAAGAGCTGTTCCTTTCCCCACAAGCCCCCAATAAATCACCCTTCTGCTTCTGTTCCCTCCAGGCACGAACTCCTGGAAGAGGCTCGGAGGAAAGGCTTGCCCTTTGCTCACTGGGATGGCCCCACCGTTGTGTCCTGGCTGGAGGTGAGGCAGAGAGCACCCGTCCATCGTTCCCGCGCGCCAACGGCTTTGCAGTCGCTGCCGATCTGTAGTGTGCTTCCTCGGCAGCGGTACAGCTCCCCGCAGTCCCACCGTGCTTGGTCCATGCACATGGTTGGTGGTTGCAAAGTGGGAGTTGCAAAGTGGTGGGAGCAGAGCAGATCACCAGATCCCTCACATATTCTGTAGAGTTGTGGTTTGAGTAGAGCTTTGAGTTAAAAGGCTCAAAGGATCTTTCCCTGTGCTGTGTCCATCAGATAGAGGGATGCTGGGCTGCCCACAGGTCATCTGTGCAAGGTACAAAAGAAAAAGGAGCCCCATGTGGGTATCTAACTTTGATACTGAGCTTCAAACAGAGTGGTCTTGATCCTACCGGAGGATGTTAGGGTAGGTCAACCGGGCAGTCACTGGCTTTGCCCTGTTTTGGCAGCTCTGGGTGGGTATGCCGGCGTGGTACGTTGCCGCTTGCCGAGCCAACGTGAAGAGCGGAGCCATCATGTCAGCCCTATCCGACACTGAGATCCAGAGGGAGATCGGCATCAGCAATGCGCTGCATCGCCTGAAGCTGCGTCTGGCCATCCAGGAGATGGTCTCGCTCACGAGCCCCTCGGCACCACCCACCTCACGCACGGTAAGTCCTCCATGCTATAGACCCCCTCTTCCCCCAGACAGACCCTCCATGGGGCAGGATGACACACTTGTTTCCCTCCTGTCCCTGGCTCCTTGGGACCACAGCGGTCCATCGGTCACCAGGGAACCCCCGTGTTACAGGCAAGCGCAGTCGTGGAGGGAGTGACGTTCCCTCGTGGACCGGTCAAACCACCAGACACTTGTCCTCAGGCACAAAGATCATTTACAGCCATGGAGTGTGAAACACTTTCCTGTCTTGAGGCACCAGCAAATGCTCTTGTCCTCATACTCAGAGGTTGTCGGCAAGAGGCTGACCCTGCTCAGCAACCTGCAAAGAGCAAAGCTCAGGGACATCTGCCCTGGAGAGGACAAAATCCCCTCCCAACAGCACGTGCGTGATTTACAGGGCCAACTCGGTTACGCACAACCGTTTTCTCAATCATTTCAATACAAACCTTTTCCTGGGACCGTGTGAAATTCCTGGGGCAAATCAGAGCAACTGCAGATCCCAGCCTTGCCCTGGATAGGACATGGAGTGGATGGAGGCTTTGTGTCTTGTGCTGGTCCCTAAACCCCTCGAGGGGTTAATGGTGCCCCAGTAATGCCAAGAGACATCTGTAGAAATGCGGCCGGCAGAAAGGAAGGCTCCAAGCGTGCTGTGTCCCCCTCAGATGGCCATGGCTGGGGTCACAGCTGTCAGAGACAAGTCTGCAGGCTCCGTGAGCGTAACACCAAAGTATAAAGGCAGCCAAAGGGCCAGTGGGCCTTGCCGTGCTCTCCGTGGCTGCACGGGCAGCCCAGGGTCGCCACGAGTGGTGGGAGCTTCAGGGATGCTGCAAGATCTCCCCAGTACAGCTCCAAGCTGAAGGGTGGTCTGATCTTCCACCAGCCTGAGCCGGGCTTGTTTCCAGCACGGTTATAAATTGAGGTCAGAGCTCCGTGGTGGTTTACCTTGACCACTCTGCTCTTTTCCCTGCAGTCCTCTGGAAACGTCTGGGTCACCCATGAGGAGATGGAGAACATGGCGACTTCCACCAAGACGGTGAGGCTGACCGGCCCTGCTGCTGCTGCGCAACGTATCGGTTACCGAGCTGAGCGCCGGGCGTGCATTAACGCGCTAAACCCTGGGAGGGAAGGGGATCTTTGCTGCGTCTCATGTGTCAGCTCTTGGCCAGCACCATGCACCTGTTTAGAAACCATCTTTCAACCTTTAATATCCCAACAGTTTCTAAAACTGGCTTAAAAACCATCAGATGCATTTTCCTTTGTCAAACCCCTGTGGGTTTTGCTGGGTTTCTAGGGTAGCTTATCTGTCAGTTGTGAGTTAGAGGAAAGAAATGAAAGACAAAACCCAAAAGTGATCTCAAGAAGTGATGCATGAGATTGAGACCCACATTGGTCATCCTGCACCCAGAGAAGTCACTGTCTAATTTCCCATTGACCTCAGCACACCCAAATATTGTCCCCACTGTCTGTCCCTACCACTGGCTGAGAGTTTGGGGTCTCCGAGAGGGATGTGCCTGCATTCCCAAAAGCTCTGGCTCCTTTGGAGAGATGAAGTCACGCTCCCCTCTCTGCGACTTAAATGACGCCATGTCCATGTCTCAGAACAGGGGCAGCATTTTGGATTTGTTGTGTGAATCAGGCATTTTATTGAAGCTTTCGTCTGCTGGTTCAGTAGCACAGCCCTGTACCTGGCAGGTGCCTTTTGGGGAAGGAGATCTCAGGATTACGGCAGGGATGTGACACTTGCCCTTGGCAGGTTTTGTGAGGTTGAGCAAAACCAGCGCAGGTTGACGAGGGATAAAATAGCTACAAAATCAGCAAAGAGGGTTGTGACCCCTGAGCTGAAGCTTAGGTTTCTCTCTGCATCCATCTGTTTCTGGGGGGCCCAAGAACTACCCATATTTCTCAGGAAAGACGTACGAACCCCAGTGTTTGCGCCGTCTCCAGCCCAAGGCCCATGAGAAAAGCCTCATCCTGTATCCTCCTTACTTGTCTGAGAGATGGGGTGAAACCTGGGCCCAGCACCCTGTCGACAAGGCTGAGCTCCCCGAGCCGTGCAGCCGGGTGACCGACCCCCATCCCCGCTGGGTCACGCCGTGCCGAGGGGTCCCACGCTCGGCACACATGGGACACGCTTTCATCGTGCAGGGCCGCCGGGTACTGACTTTACCTGTCCTTTCTATTGACATGCCGCATGTGTCACGCTTAGGACACAGAGGAAGGCAGCTGGGCACAGGTGAGGTCCCCGTGTCACCCTTTTCCGTGGGCGGTACGTGGGGTGGTGATGGGAGGGAGAGCTGGACATCACAGGGCACCCAGGAGATGAGCTTGGGACATCAGTATTTGCCAAGTCCTTGTTAGAGTCTGAACCTGCACCCTCTGGTTGCTCCTCTGAGCCATCTCTTGAGCACGGGGTGTCCTCCTGGGACCTTGCATCAAGTAGCCTCCTTTTCTGCTACAGGCAGAGTGATTTTTTTTCAGTGTAAGACATAGATCCTGTGTGTTAAAACCCCAACGTAAGAGTGACCAGCCACCTGGCATGGGAGGCAGGTTTCTAGCTGCACAGACATTCAGTTTTCACCTTTTTTTAACCCCCAATTCAGGGTATAGACCATTTTCATTAACCAAAAAAGTGGGAGGAAAAAGTTCTGCTTGGATCCATCCCTTCTGGTTTTGATCAGTATCAAATGTTTTACTTTTCTTCTGGTGGATTTTTATTTCATTTTCAGACCCAGAATCAGTTTGCACTGAAAGCGAATGGATGTTTTTCTGCCCCAAACTGACTTTTTTTTTTCATTTTGAAGTCATAAAGTAGATCTTTCGGTGATTTCTAAGCTTCTTTAAAATCAGCTGGGAATACACTGGGCCTATTTCTTAGTTAGTTGTTTCAACTTTCATGAATGTGCTTTTACCAGAAGAAGTTAATCATAAAGTCCAACTATCCCTTGTGCTTGCTTTTTGGGTGCTCCCCTCTCTCCTTGGAGCATGCCAGTAGGACACAGACCATGACCAACAGGACTGTTCCCTCCAGCTCCTTCAGGACAAGCTAGGGTTAAACTCCTCCGGCCCAGGTCTGGTCCTCAGGGCAGTGACCCCCAGGCTGCAGCACTGAACTGTCACTGGTCTCCTGGGAGTCTGCAGCTCCACCAAGCCTTGGTTTCTCCCTGACTTCTCCATTTGCTTCTCCACAGACACTAGCCTATGGGGACATGAACCATGAGTGGATTGGGAATGAGTGGCTGCCCAGCTTGGGTCTCCCACAGTATCGCAGCTACTTCATGGAGTGTCTTGTTGATGCACGGATGCTGGACCACCTCACCAAGAAAGATCTCAGAGTGCACTTGAAGATGGTGGACAGTTTTCACCGGTGAGTCCTCTCCTTTGGGAGGTCCCTAGGGTGCAGTGTCTACACATGGAGCAGAGGTTGGGACAATTTGAGGGACTCTCCCCTGTCTTGGCCAGCCCTGGTGCTGGAGGATGGTTCTTCTAGGCTCAACTCAACCATCTAGTCTGGGGCAGCTCATATGGGCAAATGTTCTCCTTCAGCATGTTCCTTGCAGCAAAATTGCAGAGGACCAAGCCTTCTCCTGGCTGTGGAGCAAACCCTGGGCAAAAATAAAGGCTCGTCCCACCTGGTAACCCACTGGCAGGCAGAGCAGTCATCTGCCAGCAGCCCAGCTTGGAGAAGGCTTATGCCATCCCAACCACCTTGCTCAAGCACCAATATCCAGCCCTGTCATGGAGTACCACCATCCACCTCGACCCATGGGGCTGTTTCCGTGGGCCTGCCAGGTCCCTCCCTGCTCTGGAGATGAACCCTTCAGCCTGGAGCAGCCCCCATGGGCTGGTTCTCCCTTCCTTCTCCAGCCACCAAGCACGGAGTATCATTATTTGGATCCATGCGCTCTCAGGCAGGTAGACCAGGATAAAACTGATGGAGTGGGGAATTAATATGGAAGGGAGGGACATTCTCCATTTTCCAGCTAAGATCTTCCCATTGGATTGTGTCATCCTGACCCAACCTTGAACTGAAGCATCCTTTGGGCGCATGGAGAGCAAGCAGGGAAGTGGGTCCCTCTGTGGGTCCCTCCAAGCCACCTGCCCTGCGATGCTGAGCCCTCCTGAGGGTTGGGTGACATCTCGTATCCTTGCAGCACCAGCCTGCAGTATGGCATCATGTGCCTGAAGAGGCTCAACTACGACCGCAAAGAGCTTGAGAGGAGGCGAGAAGAGACCCAACACGAAATCAAAGGTCAGCAGCCACATACATGCTCTGGAAAAGGAGATGAGAAACCTCCCAAGAGATGCCCAGTGACGGTCTCTCTCCTAATCCCTTATTTTTAACACAGCATTTCCCTAGGAAAAATTCATTATTTCTGAGCAACCATGCCCACAGGGCTGTTCTCCAGCAGGAAACTCCCTGCAGTATTGCCCCAACAGATTGCTCCAAGTGCCTTTACACAGCAGACCCCAGTCAGGTGTGAGGAGGGAGGAAGGGTGTCAAGAAGGAAAAGATCCAGTCTGAGCATCAGATCATCTTCTCCTGCCCATTTCAGGTGCTCAGGACACCCCCCCAGCTTGCTCAGCCTCCCCTTCCTCGCTGGCTGTCCTGGGATTCCCTGTGCATCTGGCTGCTGCTTAGATTACATCTCATTATTGATAATGCCCCTAATTACGCCGGCAGCCGTGGGTTCTTAGGATTCATTTTCACAGTTGTTTTCTGCCTGTTATTTCAGCATTTAGTTTTGTAAATTGAAGGGAGCTGTTCCTGGCACTTAAGCACCCGATATTACTTCTGGCTCGGGAAGGGGAGTCCCAGGATCGGGCTGGGGCAGTGCGAAAGGGCTTCAGAACATCATCAGATCCCTGCACAACCAAGAGGATGGTCTGAGCTGGCCCTGAGACATGCCTTCGCTCTTTTGCAGACGTGTTGGTGTGGACCAACGACCAAGTCATTCACTGGATCCAGTCCATCGGGCTTCGCGAGTATGCGAACAACCTCGTCGAGAGCGGGGTGCACGGCGCGCTCCTGGCCCTCGACGAAAACTTCGATCACAACAGTTTGGCGCTTGTGTTGCAAATTCCCACGCAGAACACACAGGTAAGAGCAGCATGCTTGGGGGATTTTGGAGGAGGATGGCCAGCGTGGGACACGGCTGCGGTGTGACTCCACCAGTCCCACCAACTCAACTCTGCCTTTGAAAGCAGAGCACTCAGATGGCGCGTGGACTTTTCCTCTGTCATTCTCAGGCTTTCCTGGGATGGGATTTTGTGCTGGAAACTGTTTCCATCAATGGGGGATGCTCATTTTTTATTCATTTCAGGCTCGACAAGTGCTGGAGAGGGAGTTCAACAACCTGCTCGCCTTGGGCACGGATCGGAGGCTGGACGATGTGAGTACCAAACCTCTCCCGTGTCCGGATCATGCTGAGCGCCTGTTCTTGTGCAAGAAACAGGAGAGGCAGGACTTCTGCTCTCTCCCTCCTTGTCCAGGGGTGTCACAGTGTGTCCAGGGGTGTCACAGTGCGTCACAGACTCTCTCGAGCAGGCACGTGAGCAATGTCAGTGAAATAAGCTAAAGCTATTAGACAAGACCCCAAGGAACATGCTGCCAGGCTGTGGAGGCAGGTGAGGAAGAGTCTTGTGCATCATTTCTAGCCTCATGCTAGAAATGGGCTGAATTTCAAGTAGGCTTACCTAACTTTTCTTGCCAGCTGCTTTAATATTGCCTTGTAGAGTCACAGATGTTCTGGGCATGACACATCTGTGGTGGGTAAAGCTGGTGGGTTAGAGATGCCCCGTCAAGCAGCCAGAAAACTCTTCACGTTGAGTCACTGAAGGTGATCATCTAGATCTCTCCTGTGAAGAGCTTTTCTCCATGAGATATGATGGCAGAGGTAGTCAGGACTCTCTTTAGAGCACAGAGAGAAGCAAGCACTTCCAGATGCCATTATCTGGCCACGGTTAGATGCATCCCTTGGGGTCTTTACTGGGGCTGGTGTGTTGTGTTGATGTCTCCAAGGCATCTTTGCAGGCAGGCTGGAGAGGAGAGATAGGCAAGCTGGAAAGGATAAAGCCTATGTCATGGGGTCCTGGAGAGGTCTCCTATGTCCTTGGCCCAATTTGATCACACACGTCTGCACTGTTTGAGTTGGTCTCCATGTACAGGCACACGCTTGTTGGGTAGAAAGTATCTCACAGGGTCAGAAAGTCCTGCTGCCGCCGAGCCCGTAACCTGCTCCTCCCTCGCAGGGCGATGACAAGACCTTCCGTCGAACCCCGTCCTGGCGAAAGCGCTTCCGCCCACGAGACGTTCACAGCATCAACATGCTCAGCGGCTCGGCCGAGACGCTCCCCCCCCCCCTTCCGCGTCCCCAGCCTGGTGCCCTTGCCCCCTCCATCTGCCCCTGCCAAGAAAATGCCCCCAGAAGGTAGGTCACCCCCTTCTCCCCAGGGTCCTCTCCCACCCTTGCTCAGACCTCATGATGAATATGGGGAACGCTGTGCCACCAGGAGAGGAGAGGGCGAGAGGCTTGCTGATCACCTGCGATACCTAATCCATGTGATCCTTGAGGCGTTGTCTGCTCTAAATGTTTTTTTTCAGACTTTGGTCTGGTGTGTGATTTGTTTCAAACCTCCAGAACGAGGGAGAGGGCTGGATTGGGGCATGAAATGGGGATATGTGTCACTCACCCTGCGTTGGGCATCCACGTCAGAGCCTGGTGGGGTGACGCTGGGGGCTGTAAGGAAGCAGCAGCCCAGTCTGGGCCAGTTTTGTCCATCCTACCTCTTGGAAACCATCCCCAAAGGGACTGAATTAACCAGTTCAACTCAGTCCCAGAGCTACTGAGCAGCCCCCTGTCCCAGGGCTGGTGGGGACCTGCTTTAACACACTTGCTGCCCGTGCTGTTGGCCGTCGTGTGTTTTAGCTGAGCACATGTGTCCTGGGCTCTGCCCCACCACCACACAACTCCTTTCTACAAGGTGTCTTGGTCCTTTCCAAAGCTGTAGGGAGGCACAAGCTCCAGTCAGATCACCCCGGTTTGTCCCCTGGACCAGGCACCCTGGTCCCACTGTCCCAAGCCACCTACCACATCCCTAGCGATGCAGACCTGGCTTTCGCAGGCTCAGAAATAAATGTGTGGAAGTTATGCTTTCACCTTCCAGCTCCAAATCCCAGGCTCAGTTCTCCTCCTATCTCCAGATTGGCTCAAATTTCACAGCTTTCCATCCAGCGATTTGGGCCAAACTTCTGGTCAACCTTTTCCACCCCATCCCTGGAAGCTGCAATTCCCACCCAGCTGAGGGCAATGAAACCTGGGACAAAATCCTTAGGTCTAACAGCACCTGGACACAGGTAGCAGGGTGCTCGCTGCCCAAGAGTAGAGACGGCAAGCGATGACTTTCCAAATACCCTGGAGCCTTGGGAGCATCAGAGCTGGCCAAACGTGCCTCTTCCTTTGACCCTCACCTTCGCGTGGCTTCAGAGCACAGACGCTGCCTAATAAAGGTTTTGGTGGGAAGCCGAGGGCTAATTGGAGCAGTCACTAATTGCATGCTCTGCTCTTTGTCTTGTTTCCAGTTGGTGCCTCTGGGTCGCCAAGGCTGGAGACCTCCACAGTCCGAACGTACTCCTGCTGAGGGTCAGCGTGACGGGAACCAGTCCGGCCCTGGGTAAGTGCGAGGAGGACCGAGGTCTCAGAGCTGGATGGGGACCAAGAGGAGATCATGAGGCTCGTGTCTGCCTTCACCAAGGTTTGCCTTGCCATGGAGGACCTCAACGGTGGGGGAACAACCCGCTGCTGCCTGAGGCTCACAGGACCCTGAGATAATGTCAAAGGGATGCTCAGCATCCCAACCATGTGCAGTTTGTCCAGTTCCTGAACAGAGAGCTCTACTGGGGACCCCAGGATGCCGTCCTAGATGAGGGGGGTGGTGTCCCACCACTTCAGAGAGGATCCCAGGATCCTGCTGTACCCTGGGGCATGGTTCCCCTGTGCCTGGAGGATTTATTACCAAGTCCGGCTGGGTTTGTTGGCCTGTGGGTGCATGGCTGGAAGTGAGCCACCATCCTCACACGGCCTTTCCCACTTCATTTCTCAGCACATCCCCACTATCCGTATGGCCACGTGCTGGCTGCCTTTCAGGACAAGAGCCCAGCCTGCGCCTATTCCTCGGCCCAAACCAACAGACGCTACAGTCTCGCTGCTGTGGACCGAAAAGGATGCTCTCCCTTCTGCTTGTGCACCCCACTGCTTCCCCCGGCTCCCCGTGGCTCCTGCCTGTGGCTTGTCCACCCCACCTCTCTCCGCGCTGGCTGGGCTACGGATGCGTTCGCTGGTTGCTCACTCTGTTGCTGGCAGAAGCACGGTGGAACCCGGCGGAGCGGCAGAGATACCCCAAAAATGGGCTGTGATACTTGGAAACCTTTCTCCTGCCTGGTTCATGTTGCCATTATGCCATGGGCTGCTGCACTGACTCGTCCAAGCCCTGGGCATCAGGGATGCTGCTGCCCACAGGACTTGAAGCCAAGGAAGATTCAGGCTTATGAAAATTCTCACACCAGGGCAACCAGGCAAGGAGCTGGCCCCAGGGGGACCGGGGCCAGTGCCAGTGTTGGTGCTGCATGGGATGGAGCAGGGACCAGCCATCGTGGGGGCAAGGAGGGTGGCTGTCTGCCACGTGAGTGGGTGGTCGGGGTGCTGCGTTTTGGGATGCTGCCAGATGCCAAGTAGTGGGGAGGCTGCACCTGCACAGCGGGTCCACGAAGGGCTGCGTGGGGAAGGGCTGGAACCGCCCCATACGGCTCGCTGCCAGCCGGGACGGTACCCAGCACCCACGGGAGAAGGGACCCTCCTTGGGTGCCTGGGGAGATACAATGGGGGCACTCACCACCCTGGGACATGCCCATCCCTTCCCCTCCAGGTGTAGAGGAGATGCTCTCCTCTCCTGCCTCCAGGTTACGGGCAGGGGTCAATCCAGGAGGTTCTTAACTCTTCCCATTTCTTCCCCGTAGGGTAGGATCTCTTCATCTCCTCATGCCACGTTTGCCTTGTGTGGCCCCTATTTCTGATGTGATATTTATTGATGGCTGGAATGACCTTATACTTATCATGTGCTGTCTGGAAGTGCAATATCTGAGAGGCTATACAGTCACGATGTCTTTTTCGGTGTATTATTTGCCTAATACAGTATTAAATATTTTTTTAATTTGAAGAGTCGGTGAGCCCTTTATATCGATGCCCTATTTCTTTCGTCATATTATTGGTACTGCATGGACTCCAAACCCTGGATCGGGTCAGGAAAGGATGTATGTGTGTTCCAATAAACAGGATTTTAAAACAGTGCTGGCTTGAGCCTTCTTTCTAGAGCTCAAATTTAAAATATAATTAATCTTTAGGTCCCCCAAGAGTTTTTGGGGTACAGGGCTGAGTCCTGGTTGCAAACCAGTGAAATCACTGGTCTCTGCAGGGCTGATTTAAGCATGGGACATCCAGTTCCCACTGCTGAGCGACCGTGCTGAGGTCCAGCTGGATTTTCT